TAACAAAGGACTCTCCTTTAAAAATTATATAAATTATTATTCATATTCCAGCCATACAATATCATTTATCCTGTACCAGAGATAATCAATGTAGTCCATTTGGTGCTGCTTATTGTCATCCTGAAATACCAAGACGTTGTACGTGCAAAGAATATGCCGAATACGATGAACTCTTGCAGATGTGTGTATATAAACAGGGCTTGGGTTCCGAGTGTGAAAGTGATGAAGGTTGTCCCGTTGAACATTCAATGTGTTCAAATCGTAGTTGTGTGTGTAAAACACACTATATTAGGAAAGGAGATAAATGTTTGCCAGGTAAGGAAAAAAACTGTATTAAATAATAAAAATATTCCATCGTAAACCACGAATTTGTCGTTGGACAATTTACTCCTATTCATTATTACATTTTAAATACATACAAAGTTCATAAATAAATCAAAATTCTTATTTACAGGCATTGGTGCTGAATGTTTCGAAGCCGATGAGTGCATGGTGGATAATTCAGTGTGTGCCACAACTTCAGCTTCCAATGCCACTCAGGATGATTCAAAATCCTGTCAATGTCGCAAAGGTTTTGTACATTTCAAAGATGAGTGTATTAAAGAAGGTATTTTAATCATTTAAATAAATAATCCATTAATTATAAATACATTTTTTTATTGAATTCCTTAGCCGAAGACATTGAGGAGGAATGCGTTGAAAATGAACAATGTAAACCTTTATTGGCCACTTGTGTTGACAATAAATGTTCCTGCAGCGATAAGCAACATTTTCAAAATGGTCATTGTGAAAGTCGAAAAGGTTTGTGACTGTTTCTTTTATTTTTTAAAGATTTTAGTACAACTTTTAATATTCATTCATGTTTGTTTTATTTTAAAGCTCTTAACGAAATTTGCTCGACCGCCAGTGAGTGTTATGTGGAAAAGGGTGCTGAAAATGTTGAGTGCCGTAATTCTGTGTGCCAGTGTAAATTTGGTTATAGAAGTGATAACGAACATCGATCTTGTGTTGCGTCCAATAAGAAAAGTGAGTAATTTTTAGTAATTTATTGAAAACAAATATATTTGCAGAGAAAATTCTTTGAAAAGTTGTCTCTAGAATAAGTTGTATAGTTTCCATTAAAAATTCTTTTCTATAATAAGATATACTTTAAGAAATTTTCAAATGTAAACTATTTGAAAAGTTCTTTGAAAGTTTTCTATAGAAAATTCTTTAAAAAGTTTTTTACTATGAAAAGTTATCTATTCAAAACTCTTGAACAGTTTTCTGTGGAAATGCTTTTTAATGTCTCTAAAAAGTATTTTATAGAAACCTCTCTTTCAAAAGTTTTATATAGAAAATTCTTTGTAAACCCTTAAACAGTTTTCTATAGAAAACTCTTCATAACGTTTTCAATGGAACACTCTATGTAACGTTTTCTATAGAAAACTTTTTGTAACGTTTTCTGTACAAAACTCTCTAGGAATCCTGGACTATTTTCTATAGAAAACTCTTTGAAAGATTTTCTGAAGAAAAACATAATTAAAAAGCTTTTTTCTGTACAAAACTCTCTAGAGAATTCTCTTTTATAGAAAGCTCTCTTAGAAGTTTTATCTGTAAATCCCTTAATAGTTTTCTGTAGAAAACTTCTTTGTATAGTTTTCTCTACAAAACTCTCTGGAGAATCCTGGATTATTTCCTATGGAAAACTCTTTGAAATGTTTTCTGAAGAAACACATCATTATAAAGCTCTCTCTCTTAGAAGTTCTATCTATAAATCCCTTAACAGTTTTCTGTAGAAAACTCTTTGTAACATTTTCTATATAACTCTATGTAACGTTTTCTATGGAAAACTTTTTAAAAGTTTTCTGAATAAACATTATTATAAAGCTTTTTTCTGTACAAAACACTCTAGAAAATCCTCTCTAAAAAGTATTTTTAGAAACCTCTCTCCAAAAGTTTTATATAGAAAATTCTCTGTAAATCCTTTAACAGTTTTCTATACTTTTTTAAAGGTTTTCTGAAGAAAAACATCATTATAAAGTTTTCTCTTAGAAGTTCTATCTATAAATCTCTTAACAGTTTTCTGTAGAAAACTCTTTGTAACATTTTCTATATAACTCTATGTAACGTTTTCTATGGAAAACTCTTTGAAAGTTTTCTGAATAAACATTATTATAAGGCCTTTTTCTGTATAAAACACTCTAGAGAATCCTCTCTAAAAAGTATTTTATAGAAACCTCTCTCCAAAAGTTTTATATAGAAAATTCTCTGTAAATCCTTTAACAGTTTTCTATAGAAACTCTTTGTAAAGTTTTCTATGGAAAGCTCTATGTAACGTTTTCTACAGAAAACTCTCTGTACAAATCTCTCTGAAGAATTCTGGACAATTTGATATAGAAAACTCATTGAGAGGATTTCTGAAAAAAAAATCATTAAAAAGCCTTTTCTGTACAACACTCCCTAGAGACTCATCTATAAATAGTATTTAGAAGTCTGTCTTTTAAAAGTTTTATATAGAAAATTTTTTGTAACGTTTTCTATGGAAAACTCTAACGTTTTCTGTACAAAACACTCGAGAGAATCCTAGACAAATTTCAATGGAAAACTCTTTATGAAAAAAAAATATATCATTAAAAGCTGTACAAAACTCTCTCATAAATTCTCTCTAAAAAAAGTATTTTATAGAAAGCTTTCTTTAAATCTTGATTATACTTAGAAATTCTTCTATAGAAAACATTTTGTACTATTTTACCTCTCCTTTCCTCTGAGATTTCATCAGGTTCTTTTTATACCCACCATCAAAAAAGATGGGGGGTATATTGATTTTGTCATTCCGTTTGTAACACATCGAAATATTGGTCATAGACCCACAAAAGTATATATATTCTGGGTCCTCATTAAATTCTAAGTCGATCTAGCCATGTCTGTCCGTCCGTCTGTCTGTTGAAAGCACGATAGAGTCCCAATGGAAAGAGCTAGAGGGTTGAAATTTCACATAAATATTTTTTACAGGTAGGGTTTGTTTGGTATTGAAAATGGGCAATATCGGTCCACATTTTCTGATAGCCCCCATACAAGTGGCCCCTCGAAAAGCAGCTTTAACAGCCATAACTTGTTTAAAAATACGAATATAGCGATAAAATTCGACATAAGTAAGTTTCTTATGATCCAAAATCATTATGCAAAATTTTATGAGGATCGGTCCATAATTGACCCTACCCCCCATATAAGGTCCCCTTCAGAAAATGACTTTAACGCTCATTACTGGCTTAAAAATACTAGTATATAGATGAAATTCGACATAAGTAAGTTTCATACGAGTCAAAATCTATCTAAAAAATTTTATGAGGATCGGTCCATGATTGACCCTACCCCCCATATAAGGTCCCCTTTAGAAAATGACTTCAACGCTCATTAATGGCTTAAAAATACGAATGTAGCGATGAAATTCGACACAAATAAATTTAATACGAACCAAATTCTGTCTACCAAATTATATTAGGATCGACCCATAATTGACCCTACCCCCTATATAAGGTCCCCTTCAGAAAATTACTTTAACGCTTATAACTGGCCTAAAAAATACGAGTGTATAGATGAAATTCGACATAAGTAAGTTTCATTCTAGTCAAACGAGGTTTGATGGTGGGTATATAAGATTCGGCATAGCCGAATATAACACTCTTACTGGTTATGTTTCTATTTCTAAGTCACTATAACAACATTCTTTATATTTTCAGATTCTTCCGGAAGGCCAAGTGCTCTTAAAATAATAACATTCATGTTAATTGGTTCAGCATTTCTCATCACTAGTGCCGCTATAAAACAAGCCTACTATTAATTTTTTTTAATTAAATTCTTTAGGAAAATACACACAAATACATAAGTGACAAAAGACAAAGCAGCAAACTAAACAATTGATTATATTAACAAAATCTAAGCTAAAATACCAAAAATTATTATAAATTTCAAAAAAAAAATTTACTAACAATCATTAAAAAATCCCAGCAATAATTAAAATAAACAAATTGTAATTGTTAATACTAATAAAATATCTCAAAAAATTTAAATAAATTTCTTTACTAAATTAATAAAGCACTAAAATAATATTTATTTAAAAAAATTACATAACACTCTTCTGCTACACTTAAAGAAAAAACTTACTAATGTTACAAAAATGTAGAAAAAGTACAAGTTTAATTTTATTTTTTAATTTAAAAAATAAACTTTAAAACGACATTTTAATTAAAGCAATATTTATTGTAACTAAAGATAATTATTAGTATTTATATACAATACTAAACATAATTAAGTGTATAAAAAATAACAAATAAAATGCTAATACATTTTCGAAAATCAACTAAAAGTCATGATTGTTATTAACAAAAAGAAGAAACATTAATTTTTAATTGTTAAACTATAGAAGAAAATTAAAAAAAAAAAATAGTTCAAAATTTCTAGTTTTTAGTTTTAAAATCTTTAAAGCAAAATTAAAAGTAAACATAGTTAATTAGTGTATTAGTTTGATAATTTTTTTAAGCATAAGTATTTAGTTATTTAATATATATTAATTATTACATTTTTTTCGAAGTTACGGAAATATAAAACATATTTGAAAAAATAAACGAGATTGTTTTATTATAAAAAACTAGATAAAAACTAGAAAAATGGATTTCAAATAGAAACACTCTTCATATAGGCGTAACAACTCAGCTAACAAAGTATTGTCTGGCCGACCGTCCGTCCGTCTGTATGTCCATGTAAACCTTGTGCGCACGCTACTGGTCGAACTTTTGATTGTGATTTGATTTATGATTAAAAAAACTTCTTTTTGACCACATTTGAGACTTTGTATCAGCGATAGGACACCAAAATGTAATTTTTTAATCTTAAGGATTAGGAAACCTAATGGCTAAATTCGGATTTTACGGGTTTCAATCTCTTGTTGGCAAATCAAGAGGATTGTGACCAAGTCCTAATAATAGAGTTTATAATACAATTAAATTCAGCTGTTTTTTACGTATGTATTTTATTTTGAAATAAATATATAAGTAAATAATTATGATTATATTAAATATATTAAATAAAAAAAAATATGCTACTCCGTTTGCTCTTCATCCGACGATGCTTCGGTATCAGATTGCTCAGACGATTGATAAGAACATGCTTCTTTTAAACGTATATATTTGATGTCCATCAAGTAGAACTTTTCATTGACCTCTTGAACAGCACTCGCTAACTCGTTGTTCTTCTGAAGAGTTTCATCCTAGACATTAATTAATTAAAACAGTTTTAATATTAAACGTTTAAGTAATTAGAAGTTTAAATTTAAGAGTTCGTTTAAGAAAATTAGGGAAAAACAAATCTTACAGAAGATTGAAATCAACGATGTCTTTATAACGGTGTTTGCCTAATGGTATCAAAAATTATCCGTTATGGAATTTATATTCATCTGTAATACAGATGGATATATACGTATACGTAACATACAGATTCTGTATGTTACGTATACTGAACCGATAGGATACAGTGACTTGAATATTATGTTGTCTATGAGTATTGTTTTAAACCCACAATCAAATCAGAAATTAATTTCGAAATGCAGTCTTATAGGTCATTAGGAAACGATCCAAGAATTATAAAAAGAGATATAACAACAATTTGTTCAGTATATTTGTCTTTTTATATGAATGTATGTATATCAGGGCCGTCCTATGTCATGATGGAATGGCTACCTATTGATCTACAGGCTCAAGAGGTTGACCTCAACGCGGCTATTAACTCATGATTCAGTCAGATCACTCTACCAATTTCAATTGTATGAGAGAAATCCCTGACAACATTGACTATTGTATCGCCAAACTTTTGATAGATGCTTTCAGTGACTATCCAACACGACCCAATTGGGATGGAAACAATACTCCATGACGGATCGTATAAGTCCGATTGTTCAAAATCAAACTATGGTGTAGGCGGTGTCTTTTACATAGCACATTTTGGAACGGAAGTTTCCTTCAAGCTTCCAGATCAATGTAGCATTCTTCAGGCTGAACTTTCAGCCATAAAACGGGCTGCAAACTGGCTCAGGTATTACTGAATTTACGGTGTTAAAATTCGAATATATACCGATAGTCAGGCATCATTGAATGCCGAACATTCTTTAATGAGATGGCGAAAGATTCCACAATATGACTGTACTGGATTCCAGTACATCAACAAATTCTTGGTAATACCATCGCGGAATCTCTTGCCAAGGTGGGTTCCTTACTTGCAAGAGAGCACACCGACCCTTTTGTCGGCATACCGCTCTCAACCTGCAACGTCGACTGAAGCCACTTGCAGACAGGCGAGGATCATGTGGCCATCTTTCACCCCACAAAGATCCCAAGCTCTTCTTTATATTCCGAGAATTAATATACGGAACTTAATGGAAGTGGTGACTGGCCACTGACCCTTTGGGCTCCATGCAAGAAGACTAAAATTACCCAGTAATGTCTTCTGCAGGAGCTGCCAGAATGAAGAGGAAGAAGAGAGTATAACTCACTGCATCTGTCATTGAGTCTGCTAGGTAGCTATTTCTTGCATGACATAACGGATCTATCGGAGGTTGATATCCGAAAGATACTCCTATATTCGTATGACAAACTAGTTTGGTTTAGGAAATCAGAGTACTTAGGTCGAATACGCTGACCGTTTTCTCTCGTTTAAGGTATCACCGCCCCAAAATGGAAGTTGCTAATGTTCCAGCCGAATATGCTGTTTAGACGTTAATATTTGGTGAGCTGGATTAAAGGATAAAATGGTCATTTTTTGAGGATTTTATTATTATACTAAATATTTATATCATATCAAAGGTTTCCGAAAGGCGCTGTCAATATGATATCAAACATTTATCTGCTGGAAGTTTATTCCACATGTGCAATCGACAACAAATGGATGTGTTCCTGAATAGATGGAACAATACTTCACATTTTGGAGAAACTCATTATATTGTGGTGTCGATAGAATAGTAAACTACACCCCAATTTACGGAGGTGATCCATAGAGAATGAATAGATTTGGATACCCTACTGTCTGTGGATACTGATAATTATATTCCGTTTTTGGTAGAATATAATTGCTGTAAATAGTAATAAGATCAGAGGTTGTGTAGTATTACTAGCTTCAGTTTAGAAAACTTATCGTTTGTGTGTTATGTCACAGCATTGAGTTTTCCGGGCGTTGAAGAATACCGTATTCGCACGTCCCCATTCAGATATTGTCTTTAGGTCCTAGTTAAGTGAGTCATTCATGTTTTGACTCATTGCCCCGAATAATCAAAAGGCTTGGTCTATAATTGGATGAATATGAATGGCAAATGCTGCTGCCATCTAACAGAGAAGGTTGTTTAGGAATATGTATATGAAATCGTGTAGGAGAAAGTACAGAACCTTGCGGTACAACAGAATTAATCTTGAACTCGTTACAAGAGATTCCATCTATAACAAGTTGTATAGTGCGACCTCTGAGAAATTTCAAAGAATCTCTGTTTGTTTTTTCTTCTTCATATAAAACGGGCCACACTCATCTATATATTTATATGTGTCCAATACAGTCTGCTCTAGATTAAAGGGTTTCAAAATTTAGCTTATTAACACAAAAGCTTACCAATAGTTTTGAGCGTTTCTGTAATAACTCCTTAACATCATGCAATTCCCTAATCATTGCATTACGTTCCATCGCATGATAGTCACGTTGCAAACGACATTCTTCTTCCAACTTTTGATTCAAACGTTTCAAATGATACATTTCCGTTAGCATCGTATTCTGTTTATCCATTATTGTTTTAACCAAACTCTCTAGATTCTCAATAGTGATACGAGCATCTATTAGATTTTTATTTAAAAGCCAATTTTCTGCACGAGCAGCTGCCAATTCGGAGGCGGATATAGGGGTGTTGATTGACGGTTCATTGCTGTAAAGAGAATTTCTTGAAGAAAACCATTTTTATACCATTGTATCTTTAGTTTACTTGTTTTCAGTATTTTCTGATGATATACAATCTTTTGGAATAGTTGCAGTATCTGTATAAGAATCTGCTTGATCCTGTCGTTCTTTGTTATGAACAAAATATTGACAAATACACGACATGTTGGTTTTAAAATATAACAAATAATACAATTTTGAAAAAAGTAAATATGTTGCCAACTGCATAGAAAACAGGGTTTGACAAAAAAATGTTTAATACTAAAGTTTAACTTGGTAAAAAATTTTATGAACTTTGCAAAATTTTAAAGAAATTTAAATATATTTGTATATTGTATACTCATAAACATAGATCTATTAAGGGCAACTGATAGCTCCCTATATTAAGAAATTGCATAAAGAATTTCCTTTTAAATAACCTTTCATTTCAGTTTAATTCAAAGCTACACCTTAACATTACTTACTAACTTTTATGCTGTAATAAATTTCCAACAAAAGTGTTTCCTTTGTGTCCATATAAAGAAAAAAAACTACAATTTTCTAAAGTTCAACAGAAACTTCAACAAAAATAATACAATTATTATTAATCACTACACCAGACGTCTGTAAACTGATGATTAATAAAAGTGATTGTTAACACAAACTCACAGTTAGTTACTTTTTTTACACCACCCTTTTGTCCCTTTAAACTTTAATGACGCCATCTACTACTCGAGAGGGCGCCATAACGGTGACGTCAAAAGTACATACATACTTTCAAAATTCTTGAAAATCTTTCTGTGTGTATTTTCTTTAACTTCAATGACCAATATCTGACATTTAAGAGTTTGCTGGACTCAACATGTGAGTTGAATTGTGTCTTGTTTGTTTGTCTTAACATGCAATACACTGCTAGATTTATTTGTCCACGAACTCATCCTTCAAAATGTTTCGTGATTTTGTTGTTGTGGTTGTAATTTTGTCATTTTTTGCTTTGGTTTTTGTTCTGACGTCGTTAAATTTAAATCAGTGATTATTTTATGGAACAATAACGAAATACTTAATCGTTTTGAGTGAATATTTGTCATGACATTTATTCCTGTTAAATAGCGTGCTGGGTGCGAAAGAATGTTATTATTTTATTCTTCTCATCAGGTATGGAAAATTTAGATTTTTAAAAAGAAAAGTGGTTAAACTTTAAGGCATAATTTTTTATTAATATAATATATCGAAAATTGCAAAAAAATAGAACTTATGAAATTTTTTTGAAAAAAAATAGAGAATTTCCATATTGTTTTCGAATAACAGAGAATTTATCAAAAAGTTTGAAATCAAAAACTTTCGTAAAATTAAGAATTAATCAAATTTTTTTTTTTTGAAATTTTTAAGCATTCTACGCGTCAAGGCATCCTACGCTTTTGTGCTGGTAACTTGTAGCACACAACAACATTGATTCTACTTTTTAGTAGAATGCGAAGAAGCGTAGAACGCGTGGTGTGGACCTTCAGCTTTATAAAAGTAGATCTACTTTATGCCTTCTACGCTTTTGTACATGTAACTTCCCAGCTAGCATTTTTTGAAATTTTTGATCACATTCGAGTCATTTATGACTCTTCTGCACGATTAAAATGATCATATATGCGCTCATTTTCTGATCATAAATGAAACATTCGTCGGGAGAAAATGGTACCCTACCCGCGACTCTTCTAAATGAGTCATTTATGAGCCCCACTTCTGATCAATTATGACTCATTTTTTAATCTTTTTTGAGTCATTAATGAGCCAGATAACTGGTCATTTTTGCGTTAATTCCGAATCATATTATAGTAATTTTATAGTGTTTTCTGAGTAATTTTTATGTTTGTTACCAAAGAATATATTTGTTACAGACAAATACAATACAACAGAAAACAGTTTTTGATCTTCCGACTTCGTAAAATTTCACTACAAACTAAATTTATAAACAATCATATTTCAAACATCTGGATGACCTATTTATGATTGGTATACATTTTGTTATTGTTTTTCAAATAAATCAGATTTTAAACATTAATTGGAATTATTTAGACTTAGTTTAGTGATTAGTCGCCCAACAATCTTCCGTAGAACATCATTAAACATATAAAATTATTATAATTAAAGCATAATATATGTAATTTAATTTCCTTGACAGAAAATCGACTTTATAAATATCACACAAATTCAAATACTTATACATTTAATTTTATAAACGAAATGAGAATTATATCAACTAATTTTAGGACACACAAAATGTTTTGTAAACTCTTCCAAAAGAGTCTTTTCTAAGCCCCATTTCTAATCAGTTTCGACTCATTTTTGAATCGTTTTTGAGTAATTTTTAAGTGTAAGTGTTGCTGTTTCATTACGAACAAAAACAATTACATAAGGAACAATTTTAGATCTTCTAACTGCTTGAAATATGACCACAAAATAAGTTTTTGAAACCATCATATTTTAAACACCAGCATGATCAATTTATGATTACTATACATTTTGTTATTGTTTTTCACATATACAGTTTTCAATCATATATCGGGATCATTTTCGAGTCATTTTTTAAGCGCTCAACTTATTAATCACTTTTAGGTCATCAAAAGGAGTCAAAAATGACTCAGTTTACTGATTAATCATCCAACAATCTTCCAAATGCTAGCTGGGTTACAGCATACAAATACATTGATTTTACTTGTTTGACAGACGCTTAGAATGCGAGAAAGCGTAAAACGCGTGGTGTGCAGCTCCAGCTTAAGAATCACAATAAAAAGATTTTTGTAACCTTTGACCCCATTATTAAGACACCTAGACGAACTCCTGTCCCAACTTTCATTTATCTAAAATTCTCAACTAAGAAGATAATTTATTAAAAAATTCCTTAAATAGAAAATGTATCATAAATTTAAAATATTAGATGTTCCATCTCTGTTTCTAATTTCAAAATAAGTTATGTTGTTACATATGTAAATACACATGTATGTACGTACATGTATACGTGGGATTAAACAATATAAAAAAATTAACAACGTATTAGTCCCAGATGTATGGACTTTAAAGTCCGTTAAAAAAATAATAACAAAATTTTCAACAAAATTTTAGAGTTTGGTTTCTTTGTTTTTTATTGGACTTTTTATTAAAAATGTTAAAGGTATGAAATTTGTTTACAATATATATTTTGTTTATACTATGTAGATATTGTATATAGATTTTTAACGCTAATAAATGTCTGTGTATTCTGTGTAAACAATCTTTTTTTTTCACTAACAATAATAATAATAAATTCCATATAATTTTTATAGTGATATTTATTTTTTTTTTGGAGGCATTAAAATATTTTGTGAATAATTCATTGCAATTTTTAATATTTGTATTTATAAGAATGTATTTGTATGTTTTTTTGGCAAATTAAAATAACGACATTTTAAAGCATATTTATTGACAAAACTTAAACAAATTAATCAATTGTTATTACATACACTAACACGAATATAGTTGTTAATTTTGATTTAAAAAGATAAAATTATTTCTAGCTTTATGAAAATATATATTTTACGTTTTATATTGATTGCATTTTTGTTTTATTATTTCTATAATTATTAATTTAAAACAATTAAATGTAATTATAATTATTAAACAAGCTATATGTATATATTTAAAAAGAACAATTTTCCAACTGTTTATAATCAATTAATATTTTATTAGAAATATATTTTATGGATTATTGCACGATTTTTTTAAATTTCTTAAAATTTCATTAGGTTTATTATTAGCCATGCATTATTTTTTAATTATTTATTTCACTTTAACTATTTTCCATAAGTGCCACAGATTTTTTCATGTATTTATAATGTGTCTGATATGTTTGCATTTTTTCTCTGAAAATTTTAATGATTGTTTTGATTTTCAATTCGCCATTTCATTTTTATATATTATACATATTTTTCTTATACAAATTTTTTTAATTAGGAGTTCTATTTTCGGCTGAGCCGAATCTTATATACCCTTCACCATGATGTATTAAAAGATGTCATTATGAATTTTATTACAAAAAATCAAATAAGACCCAGAAAGTCCCATTTTATAGATTTTCATTAAATCAGGCTGCTGCGTGTGTGCATAAAAACCAAAAAGTACCAGTCATAGAACGAATAAGTACGAAAACCCCTTTCCTACAGATTTCCATTAACTTAGCCCAACGAATGTTTAATTTTATGTTTCTCGGTATAATATTATAGAAAATCCTAAATGTACCTTTTCAAAAACGAAAAAGTACCATAAAGTTACCCTTTTTGGTTCTCATTTTGCAGATTTCCGATAGGAAACTTGTCGAAAGCATGTCTGACAGAATTATTGAAGATTCGGATCTTAAAGATATCTAAAAACTAATTTCAACAAACATAGAGACATAGCTTAATCGACTTCCCTATTTATAAGGATCCAGAATATATATACTCGGGAAATTATATTGTAGAAATTACAAACGGAATGACAAACTTATATATACCCTTCTCACGCCCCTCGGAGGCATGTTACCTTGATGAAAGACCCCATCTTGTTGTGATTACAATCCCGGGGAAATAAGGTGTTACCAATACCTCTAGTCTGCTGGGACTATAAACTGGTGATGATCAAATATATCCTCGGCCTTTCCTTTAAATGATTTGAGATGGGTCGAACCAGAGCACCACATAATCTGGTACTACTGGTGGCCAGTTGACCGCAGGACTTTGTCCTAGCTGGTCAGTTCGGGATCCACATAGGGGCTGTGTTTTAAGCCTAAATTCGCGGAAGGTGTATCATACCGCTGTTAGCGGTACAAACCACAGGGCAAGGCTGTGTTTTAATAAAATGTTGGATGGAGTGACGGTTGAAGTGGCGGTTGAGTTGGTTGAGACGTTGGCGGAGTTGTTAATACTTTACTCTTTAATTTATTGGCGATTTTTCTTCATGGTTGAGTGTGTTGGAGTTTACTCTAAAACATGTTCAACTTTTCACAGTAGATCCTTGCGGCCACTGAAATAAGTCTGACTAATTAACTATAGATCTGTTTTTTCCCTAGGTACTGTTGCCGAAACAACAGAGCAATCTCAGTAATGTTTGCTGAGTGACTTTATGAGGTTAAGGAATGCACTGAGTGAGTCTTTAGATGATGAGAATGCCACACGAGCATTCCTCATAGCATCCATGGGGTATTTTCACCTGATATTGGCTCCGCCCCTTCTATCGTCTCTAACCGGTGATTGCCTTTTCCTTTGTCGGAGTTTATTTGAGCTTGACTCATGACGCCTGTCATTCCTCAATGGGGCTACTATGGCAAGATATTGAATAGCTCGAGTACTTGAGCAAAGTGTTTGTACAACGTTGCGTTGTTAACATTACATAGTATATACTTTGACAACGGATGTTATTGAAAAATTATAAACTCTTCGGTGTCAATATGGTACCAGGCGTGTATATTTCCTTTTCCCTCTGTGTACCCTTCTCATGAAGGTGAAGTGTATAAAAACGAATCAAAAAATTACTAATAATCAGGTAATATTAAAAAGAGTTGGTAAAAAGTGGGTTAAGAAAGTCCTAAATTTTATATTAATGAATTTTTTTTTTCTTAAATTATTGTTGTTATTTTCCCAAAAAAAAAAGCGCAAGCACGCCAAAGTCGGTACTCATTTTCAAAATGTTTTCCAGAACTCCTGAGAGATGATGCTTATTTAAATGCTATTTATCTCAAAAAAATTGTTAATTAACTATCGGACATAGCCCTTTCCAAAAAAGTATGTTACATCCCATGAGTATTAAATTGTAAATTAGTGTAATTTGTATTTATGAGCACAAATTTAAATATTTATTTTAAGTAAATACATATAGCAAACAAATTCCTTTTGAAGCCAAAATAAGATAGACATGAAGCTATGATTTGCTAAAATTGTGTATTAATCTAAATCTTTAATTTTAAATTTACCAGCTAATAAAAAAATGTTTTTATTTATTTTAACATATAATAATCATTTTTATTTATTTACTAAAACTTTAGTTTTTCGTTTTTATGCACTCATGATTGATAATTGACAAAAAATTTCTAAACTAATTTTATATAATATTTATATAACTATAATATTGTTTTATCTGTTTGCAATGGAAATAGAAAAAAATGTGTGCTGTTACTACACTAAATATTTAAATAAAAAAACCATAAGAGAAAATTAAAACAAAAAATAAATATTTGCAATTTTTAGTTTTAGAAATAACTCTTTAAACTGGCATAAATAACAAATGGCATCACGACTGATAAAAATGATATAATAAGATTTGCCGCTGAAATTTAATTAAAGAAAAAAGTATTTTATAATAGAATAGTTAATTTAAATTATTTACTACTCACCACCACTGCAAATATCATGCACTAAATCCTCAAAATAGCCATTTTCATTATCACATAAACAAATTTTAGCTTTTGTTGACATAAACTTGGCCACACCAATAGTACGATTGGAATTTTCATATTGACACACCAGACCATCTTCACAGTCATTGCTACTGACGCATTTGTGGCGTAGACCTGCAAGGAAACAAATTAAAACAGTAAATGAGTAAAAGCAAATAATCATAAAGTTATTATAAGAAAAAATTTACATTTTTATATAATCAAGCAATAAAAGATTTTTATGGCTATTTCATCAAACTTTTCAATTCCAAAATACTTTAATATCAACCAATACCAACATATTCTAAGACCATTGTGCAACTTTATATATAGCATGTCAGATTAAACATGTACAAAAAATCCTTTAATTTATCATTTTAACTTTTGATTTGCATAGCTTGTTAATTGCAAAATATTAAATTTTTTTATTTCCTTATTTTTAGATTTAATGTTTCAGCTGTTTAGAACCCCTGGGTTGTTTTAAGGTTAAGGTTCATGGATGTGCTAATAGCAAGAAAAATCATCAACATTTGTTAATACAAACTACTAATCGTGCCTAAGAATTCTTGTAGTAGTTTTTATTAAACATGAAATAATAAAATATAACAAGGACTATTGGTTAGAGTACAGGCAGGCCATTGACAAGGTTCTTTTTGTTTGTTAAAATAAATGCATATAGTATAAAATATACATATGTACTTGTATGCACATTTCATTTCCGCTTTTCAACATATCGAAAGAAAATAACAAACACAATACCAAAATTCAAAAACGAGTATCAAACTCAAGGATCTTAAAACATTGTAAATCGCCATTTGTTTATTAATAACGTATACGTACTTTTTATTCGAATTACATATTGCGTATACGCAGTGGTTGTCTTTATTAAGTATTATTGAGATACAATCGGTACATTTTTTGAAAAAAGGGAAATATGTACATATTTACATGTTGCAAATTTCGATGGGGATAAATTTTGAAAGGGACTACATCACTGTTATTAAATTTAATCCAGAATTTTATCGGAAAAACAGCAGATATTAAAAAAATTCTCCGAAGGCTCGGCACATCAACAAAAAAAATCGGGCAAATTTGAAAATAAAAAAATAAGAGTTCTATATTCGACTGTGACTATAGTGGTTCAAAAAACAATCTATAGTTTGTTTCTAAAATACCAAACAAGTAATACCAGTTGGAAAACGAAAAAGTACCAGAAAGTCCACTTTTATAGATTTTCATTCAATCAGGCCGTGTTTAATTCTATGTTTTAAGATTTAATATTAATAAAGATACAACAAGTAAGAAAGTATAGTCGGGCGTGGCCGACCATATGATACCCTACACCAGTTATGAATATTAAATGTGATTTATTTTTCATAATAAAGCATTTATCTTCAATATTCCCTTGTTCCGATACATTTAAGCAATTTATGCATGAAAAACTTATTTTCTGAAAGAGGCTTTATATGGGGGCTAGGGGCAAATATGGACCAAGTCCGATAAAATTTTGTGAATATAGTTATATTTACATAATATTTTATTGTGCTGAATTTCATCGCGATATTTGTGTTTATAAGTTAATTTGGGACATTCAAGTCATTTTCTGAAGGGGACTTTGTATGGGAGCTAGGGTCAAATGGGGCCCGATCTTTATGAAATTTGGCTGGGTCATCAAGACTTCTATAAAACTTTGTTGTGCCGTATTTTATCGATATATCTGTATATTTAACATAATTATGAGCTCAGAAGCCCTTTTCGGAGGGTTCTGTTCTATGGGGGCTGGGTGAAATAATGGACCGATTGTAACCATTATCAATAGGCTTCGTCCTTGGGTCAAATAAAACGTGCGTGCCAAATTTCATCTAATTATCTTGAAAATTGCGACCTGTAGCTTGCGCACAAGGTTTACATGGACAGCCAGCCAGCCAGACGGACGGACGGACATAGCTTAATCGACTCAGAAAACGATTCTAAGCCGATTGGTATACTTTAAGGTGGGTCTAGGACGAATATTTCTGTATGTTACAAACATCAGCACAAATCCAATATACCCTCCCCACTAAAGTGGTGTAGGGTATAAAAAGTACCAATTGAAAAACGAAAAAGTGCCAAAAAGTTTACTCTTATAAATTTTAATTCCATCAGGATTAGGGTTGTCATTCAAATAAAAATTATTCGATTAATCGAGGAAAAAAATTAGGTTTTCTTCGAACGAATAAAAAATTTTAAATTTAGAATAAAAATATAATAATATTTGAATGTTACTTTTTGGTTCTTTGATTCTTTAAGTATCTGTCTTTTCACAAGAAAGACAACAATTTCTAATTATGATGAACCCTGTTTCCTAGGCAAGATATCAGTGATAGAAAGAGTGTAACTCCTTACCGAAAATTAAAATGGAGACACCACATTGAGGATAGGATCAAAAAGGCACATCGGTGTTGGGTGATATGTAGGTGAACTATAAAATTGCAATTAGACAAATTCTAGGTTATGCTTCAATAATCTTTGACTTCTTTGGACAAAAAGTGTAATATCAAACTACATCCGAGAGTTCAGCGTACATGCTGCTTGGGTACAAGCACTACGTCAAGCAAGGCTCTAGAAACGTTATTCCATTCCTTGAAACATATTTAAGATATGAGGTGTCACTTACAACCGAACGGCTCATAACTTTAGATGAACTGGCGGTTATAGGACACGTTATCAATGTATACTGGACACATTGGAAGGCTATAAACAATCATCGGACGTGCCTGATCGTATACCAGACACAGAATATGTCGGAAATTTTGAAACACTGAACTCAGATAGAATGTCTTGGTCAAGCGGAACATTTCTCACGAACACTGATTAAGAAATTCTTAGATATTACGGACAGTGAAAGATAATACATTCAGTGGACATTATGTTGTTTTCTTTACCAACAAACCTTTTTCTTCCATGAAAAGCAGCGCACAACAGACCAGATAGTGGCCTGTTTCTAAAAACGTCTGCAAAACAGGTTAGTTAAACAAACATCGTATATATCATTATAAAGGCCTCAGTTTCCACTTTTATATCCATTGAGAAATTTAAAATGGGTTGAGATTCAACTAAGTTTTGAATTTATTAGTGTATTAATAATGTACGAAACGTGTTTTTTACCCGTATCTTATGATTTTGAAGGTGTTTGGCAAATTTTATTTATATTTTATTAAATTATTCGAATAAAAACTTTTATTCGTTATTCGTTCAAATAATAGAACAATTTTTAAAATTTAATCGACTACTCGAATGAAAAAAATTATACTACATTTTTATTCGAATAATTTTAAACACGAATAATTGACAACCCTAATCAGAATGCTATATGTGCGATTTTATGTTCAATAATTCAGAAAATTAAATGAATGATAAAAATGAACCAAAAACTCTCCTTTTATACGTTTTCATTTAACCAGTAAGGTCCAATAAAGCAGAAAACCCCAAAAAGTACCAATTGAAGAATCCTTTCCTACAGATTTTAATTTTATGTTTCCAGATTAAATATTATTTTTCCGCATCCCAGTTTAATTTCCCACGCACAACTTTCCATTCCTGATTTTGGCAATAACAAAACAATAATAACACTCAAATGCGTGTTTTTTATAAACAAACAAACTAAGTACAAGAACAACATACATGGTGTATGAAACAGCATGTTGTTGTTTTTGTAAAGCATGCCCAAAATTCTCATTTTTTTAATGAAATTTTCAGAGATTGCATCGGATTTTTGCTCATATCTCCCTTATTTATGGACCGATTTTCCTGATTTTAAATAGCGATCTTCTCGAAAGCAGGCCTGGCATAATAATTAAATACTTGGATCCCGAAGATATCTGGGGTCTTCAGAAAATAGATTTCAAAAAAACATACAGATGGACAGATAGACGAACAAACGAAACATGGCTTAATCGTCTCAACTATCTATAAGGATCCATAATGTGACCAATTTTGAGGCGCTACTTACTTGCCCATTCTGCCTACGATCGCCTTCAACTGTTCGAAAATACCTCAGTTCTAATCATGTGAAATTTCGTTATGATCCATAATGTGACCAATTTTGAGGCGCTACTTACTTGCCTATTCTGCCTACGATCGCCTTCAACTGTTCGAAAATACCTCAGTTCTAATCATGTGAAATTTCGTTATGATATTTTCAATAGTTCACGAGATACTGTGAATCTGTTTAAGGAATACCGACCAACTTAAATATTTTCATAAAGAAAGTAAAAGATAGGTTAGTTGGTAGTATTCTTGTCTGTCAATGTCGATTCTCATTAGATACTCAGGTAAATGAGCGCACAATAAAACCGATCCATTTTTAAAGATGATCGATCACATCTCAACCGCCGATTTTAGGTATTTCGAGCCATTTCAGATTTCAGCTATTATTTCAAGCTTAGCATCATTTAAGGATCTACAGTCCTTTAAATTAGTCAAAGGCTAATTTAAAGGATATTTCAAGAGGTCACAAATTTTTTAAATTAAAACATTATTTAAAGACCTACAACCGATTTTAGGTTTTTAAATAAATATCCACTTTTGATGGAAAATTGAGGTGGACATAGCTATTATCTCAATCTGAGAGTTATTTAAAAATCTTCAGTCTATCTTTGGTTTTTCATATAAAAATCGAATTTTGATGGAAAATTTTAGCGTTAACAAATTTTAGCTAATATGTATTTCTAAAATATTTTTTATATACATTTCGTAAGTTCTTTAACAAATTGTATAAGTTTTCATTTTTACTGAAATGAAACAAATTTGAGCATTTTTAATTTGATGCGAACTAAAATTAGAACTACTTAAAACTACAACCCTCTTTGACAGAACAATATTTTTCTACGTAGTATTTAGTATATTTGTAAGTAGTAGGTAAAAACAAATACATGTGTTTAATTATCATTTACAACAATTTAATTTTTTTTATTACACTTGGAGAAATTAGATGTAAAATAAACAAATACTGTGATTTCTTAAACTCATTTTAATATTTCCTTCCAACTTTACAAATATTATTATAAATAAACATCAATATGTTAAACTATAATTGGGTATTAAAGTTAAATTCTGAAGAAAATGACGCAGTATCCAAAATCTGCCAAATAAAAAGTAACAGAATTTAACCTCAAAGATATAAGCAGTTTGAATAGAATACTAGAATAGAAGGTGTCACTAGACATAATAAATTTCTCTAAACTTTCTGCTAAATTCTAATTCTTGTCAGTGTACATAAAAGTGAAAACATTTTCAAAATACACAAGTATTTAACTAAGACACTATAATGCTGCAACACATAATTAGAACAGAATCTGAAGAACATAATAAACATAATCATTATACATTTTACAACTTGACGCAATTGAACTGATGCAACTACTATGTCGTTTTTCTTATTCTTCTTTCGTACATAAAGTAAATATAAACATCTTGTTATTAACATTTTAAACGAAATGACGATTCTGCGTACTCTGGGACTTACCTTTTAAAACATCTGCACATAGACCATTATTGGGTGGTGTATCATCACCGCACAAACAACGCAGCTTTAAATCATCTGGATCTTTTACACAACTTGATCTTTCTATCGCTGCACAGTCGTCATGTGTATTGCATTCACGACCTTTGACTGAAAATAAGAAAGGCAAGAAATTTAATTAGATTAATGCTATAATTAAAAAAGTAAGGGTTATATGTAACGAATCCTTCACCATAGTGTGTTAAAAAAATTTAAAAAAAAATTCAAATAATTATACCCTACACCATTATAGTGGGGTGGGTATTATGCGTTCATACTGATGTTTCTAAAGCCCAAAAATATTGGTCCTACACCTATCTTAAAGTATACTAATCGGCTCATAATCAATTTCTGTATATTATTAAGTATATTAAAAGGTTGAAGTCGGTCCATTAATTTACAAATCTTGCTACTATCTCCCAATACCTTCAAAACTCATTTAGACAACTTAGTTTGTGAAATACTAACTGTGGTCTTAGTGTAAATCCTGTGAAAACGGAACTAGTGATATTCTCCAGAAGGCCAGTAGAACTTCGACTCTTTGAAAGTGTAAAATATCTGGACATTGTTCTGGTTTTTAAACTGTCATGAAATCTGAATGTGCAGGCAAGAACAGCAAAAACTGTTATTGCCATATATGCGTATAGTAAGGCCATAGGTAGGATTTGGGGTATTAGTCTAAACTTTGCGAAATGTCTTTTTGTCATGGTAACTAAGCCCATTGTAATGTTTGGAGCACTGGTTTGGTGGAATGCATTTGATAAATCCACATTTGAGAAAACTATAGCACGTATGATAACTGTAACGATCATACATTTGTTACATGCGGACCTTACGGTTGCCCTTAATTCGGCAGTTATAATAAGTTCAGACGGTTTCTGGAAGTATGGTCATGGAAGTATAGTCAACACTGATGTGTCTTAATCTAAGGGAGGTGTAGAGGATGGGTTTTATATTCCTAATTTTAGATAAAAAGTATATTTCAAGCTAGACTAGAATTTGTACTGACAGTTAACCAGCGATCACACCTCTCTTTCTCTCTCTAATGTCTAGACGACATCTAGATCGGTTCGTGAATGTCGTATTTATTTAAATGAGATAGCGCAACTGACAGGGTGCGATTAAGGCTAATGACAACCGTGATGACAGGTGACTTCTGAAAAGTTGCAATAATGAGGATGAGGTAGAGACGGTCAAACACATTTCATGACTGTGTCCTGCTTTGCTAACTTCAGAGTGGCCACCATAGTGCTTATTGCATGACTTTCTTAATTCGTAGATTCGATAGATTCTTAATTCGTGTTGCCACGTTTCCTACCATAGACCCATAGATTTCAATTTGGTAGATCGATGTTTTGATTCATTTGTGTATATTAGAATGAATACAATGAATTGAAATAGTTTTACATTTTTCACATACCCGAGGTGTCCTCTTATAAGGATTTCTCGATCCACCTGGGTTGATGTGGTTGTGAAAAAAGTTCAATTAAATTTTGAACTTTCAATTCCCCAACTTTGTTACTAAATCGGAAACTACTAAAACATGGGTTAATTTTGTTTCATTATTTATATATTGCAACAGCTTGTTATAAATTTTAAAAATGATTGCAATTATAATAAAAAAACAAGTTTTCAAACAATAATAAATCATATAGATTTTATCTCAAAAAATGTAAATCAACATATACAATTAATTTTATTCATAAATAAAACTGATAATGAAACTGTTTAATCGTAAACAATATTTTGTTTAATTATTTTAATAATATGGCACAGTGGCACTTGAAATAGTAACAGATACATACAATTATTTTAATTAAATATTAAGCTCTCCTTCAATTACAACTTAAATGGCTAATAACAACAATTACTACAAAAATATATACATACATAAGTACATAATTAAGCTTACTATTTAGTTGGACAAGTATTTTGTTATTTACATACAAATACCTATTACTTTTAAAATCGTTAATAAAAGATGTACAATTCGCTTTTTTTGTTTAGAGCAGGAGATAACGAGTTATAAATTAGAGGTTACAAGTGTCAAAATTGTAAATAAGAAACAAGCACCTGTCAAAATTTAATTTCTATTTGTCGCATATATACAAAAGTTTGTTAGTTTTATCCAAATATTCTTAGGTTATCTAAAGTTCAGACAATGTATGTAGAGTGACACTTTATTGACATACAATTATTAATAATGACAATATTTACTTTGTAATCAAATATAAATCAAATGAACATGAATGGTACTAATATGTGGATGTTAACTATTCAAATATTTGTAGGTCTATAATTTTAATCTAATTAAGTCATATGAAAAAATATTTATTCAAATTATTTTTTATTAATAAGTTTAATAAATCAATCAGAGAATAACATTGATTTATTTTTGTTGTTGTTAATAGAAATTCATTATTTTTTATTTTTTTGTAATGTGGAAAAAAATACTAATTAAAATAGTAGAACCTAAAAGCATAAAATCAGGCATATATGATCCTGATGAAATGAAAATCTATAAAAGGAGAGTTACTCGTTCTCTTTCGTTCTTCAACTGGTATTTTTTCGGTTTTTTATACCCTACACCACTATAGTGGGGAGGGTATTATGCGTTTGTGCTGATGTTTACAACACCCACCCTAAAGTATACCAATCGGTTTAGTATCACTTTCTGAGTCAGTTAAGCTATGTCCGTCAGTCGGTGTGTCCATGTAAACCTTGTGCGCACACTACAGGTCGCAATTTTCAAGATAATCTGATGAAATTTGCCATATACTCATCTTTTCAAGGATGTCAAGGATGAAGCCTATTGAAAATGGTTCAAATTGGACCATTATTTCGCCTAGCCGCCTTACAACCATAACCACCACAACCTGGTCTGGTGTCTGGTTATATTTTATCTTAAGGTTAAATTGACAATTTTTATAAAAAATTATTTTAACCGTCAGAATATCTACCGGTTAAACGATAACGGGGCTTAGGTGAATTGTTTATTCGTCCAACTTAAAAAAAAATTAACATAAAAAAGTCGGGCTCAACCGGGATTTGAACCCGGGACCTCTCGCACCCAAAGCGAGAATCATACCCCTAGACCATTGAGCCTGTTAAAAGATGCCAAACTTTCAACAGATTTTATTTCTTATTTCTGTAACACACAACTTTATCAAGATCTTTTTGGATTGTTACCAATATTTTATCATTTACTGAAGAAAGTAGATATTAAAAATTGTTTTTGTTATTGTTTTTTAAACAATAACTAGTTTTCAAATATTTATTATCTATTGTTTGCAAATGATAAGTAGTTTTTGTTGTTTTTTACATACATAAGAGATGATAGAGAAGACCCTACAATACAATAATGTTGCATATTATGAAAATTTATCTATGGTACTTTACATCACAATACCAATATTTATATGAATTTACAAACATAAGACCCATTTTCGACGAAAAAACCTCTTAGGGGGCCTAGGTCAATTTTGTCTCAAACTCTAAAGAACTTTATATAATAACGTATTTTGTAGAACTATCCATTGGTTCCAGTTTTGCCTTAATGTTAAATACTTATTTACCGAATAAAAATCTATTTTATGAAGAAAGCCTCAATATCATGGCTATGTCCTAAAATTAACAGATCCTCCTAGATTGATAATAGTTATTGTTATGGGTCTTTATACTAATACCGATGATAATACGAGATAAACATTAGAACGATTTTCTAGAAGAAAACCCATTATGGGGAAGAAGATTACACAGGTCAACCCAGATTAACCCAGAGACCAAAGTATACTATTCTAAAGCATTAAACAGCGCTGAATCCGGATCTGGATCACATCTAGATATTCTAGATAACGTGTTAGTGTTCTAGTCTGGTACACCGGAGGTTGTGTTTTCGATTCCCACCTGAGGCATTGAGGGGCGCACAACTGGTCCAATAGAAGCCTAGGTGTTTTTCTTCGGCTTTTATGTGTGATTTTAAACAAATTAATTAGATATTGTGTCATTTAGTTTGAAAAACGCCGTTTTTATCCATAGTCAAAACGCTATAACAGCGCGAAGTCATCTTTATATATAAAACTTGTTATCTTATCCGTATGTCCAATAAGCCGATTTTAAAATAAAGATTTAAGCTTTTTTATATTTTCTTCCTTTTTCGAGATATCTTAAACTATAACTTGGAACAACTGTAAATTTACTTAAACTGATTTATTTCAGTTTTATTTATGATTTACCTAAAAGGACCATCACATCAGATTTTCTAGATATCGTGTCATGAAGTTTAAAAAAAACGGCTTTTGGCCATATTTAAGACGCTATAATAGCGCGAAGAAACCTTTATTAATTTGTCGCCTTTGAAATAAAGATATAAGCTTTGCTATATTTTCTTCCTACTTCGAGATATCTTAACCTAAAGCTCGGAACAAAAACTGATTTCTTTACTTAATTTCATCTTTATGTTATGAAAAACTTATATGTCAAAATTTGCTATAACTTTCTCATGAATTGTTTAAAAATCTCTTGTATTTACTGAGATATCGACCGTTGAAATTTTTGCTGTAAAATATTTTAAAATTTATAGAGATTGCGAACTTTACGTTAAGATATCTTGAAGAAAGAAGAAGATATAATTGTGGTTAAACCTTTATTTTGAAGTGGATAGATTGGACTTTCAGATAACTCCTATTTTATAAGTAATGGTATCTTCGCGCTGTTATAGCGTCGCAAATATTGCCAACTCGGGGATTTGAACAAACTGATATGACAGATTCAGATTCAAATTGAACTTTGCTCAATCCTTTAGAAAAGTATTTCTTGGTCTCTGGGTTTTAACTTTCTTTAAAAATTTTGTTGGTCTGTGTTATTAAGTTTGTTTTGTTTTCATAAACATTTATGTGTTGTTTCTAGATAACGTGTGAGTAGTTTGAGTTAAAATTTTACTTGTATTTTGTTTTTGTTACAATAACAAAATACAAGTAAAATTTGTGCTCAAACTACTCGCTCGTTATCTAGAAACAACACATTAACTATTAACTGTCAAATAGTTTAACTAACTATAATGTTAATAATTTGAAACTTTAGCCCACTGTTTATAGGCTTAAAATAAATAATGATCAGACAACTTCGTTGTATATTTATAAACAAACAATGACATAGAAAAAAGTTCAAAGAATAAATAGCTTTTCTTCACACATTTAAAATGCGAATGAATTAAACACATTCAATTAATATTAATGATTATATTTTCTATAAAAAAAAAAGAATTTTTAAAATTTCGCCAGTCATGTTTGTTCTCCTAAAGAAAACGCCTAATTTTTAAGCGTTAAAATCACTGCCCTCAAAGAAAAACTAAAGAAAAACATCAATAATGTTGAAGGTAAACTACAGAATTAATTTCTTTCCACGGCAAACACACTGGAAGTTAGACTTAAACTTACCAATTGGACCGGGTGTGGGTGGTGGATTATTGCTAGATTTGCCAAATGTAGTTAAAGCTGTTGAACTGACACCAAATAAAATAATGAAAACGCCAAATAGCATGGTCAAACTGCCACATTGTGTAAAACGTTTAAGGGGTTGCATTTTGAAATGGGGAAATTTTTAATTCAGACCCACACTTAAACACTTAAATAGTTTTGAAATTTTTAAACAGTTTTTGAATTTGTATTTTTTTTTTAAATACAACACTTTTTATATTTTTGTTTTATATCTTTTTTCTAACTTCTTTTGATAAATATTTCTTTTTTAAAAACTTTACTGTTACTGTTTATTTTTCTATATTTTTACTGGATTTGTTTTAAATTTTATTTGATATTTTTTGCGTGTGAGTGAAGAAGATTAATTTTATTTATTGTAATTTTTATTGTTGTATTTTTTATTTTTTTTTATTTTATGAATTTAAGCAAAAAAAATTAACTACGACAATGACGACCTTCTTGCTTGAACGCTCTAATAATAAGTGAATAATATTCCAATCATTTCAAAGCTTAAGTTTAGTTTTTCTTTAGGTTTTATTTGCTGCGCGAGTACTTTCAACTGTTTCCATTTGTTTTTAATGATGGGTCCTCTTAGAAGAGGCCTTCTTTAGTCAAATATACAATAATAACAGAACAACAACAACAACAAAACTTAGTACTTAAAGCCAAAAAGTATGCAAAATATAAACACTAGTATAATTAGTAAGGCTAATTTAGAGGATTTTTTTACACAATTTTTGCGTATAAAAATATATGTAATTTCATTATCATACAAAACTCGGTCATCGACTGATGTTCGAAAGGTCTAACGAATTGCCTATATTAATATAAGGTTTATGAGCCTTAGATTCCAACCAACATTTCAAAATTTCGAGAAAAAACGAAAAATATTAAAAAAAAAAAAGAACAAGAAGAGAGAACAGAAAAGTACCACAATGGTTATAGTCTTATAAATATTCATTCCATTAGGATCTTATATGTTTTTATGTTCAATAATTCAGAAAATCAAAAAAGTACCAGAAATTTCCCTTTTTTATATATCTTCATTCATTCGTGTTTAATTTTGAGTACTTAAAAAGTACCAATAATTCAGTCCTATAGATTTTCATTCTATCAGGATCATATATGTCCGATTTTGCGTTTTTAGGTTCAATAATTCAGAAAATCAAAAAAAATATCAATTGAATGACGAAAAAGTACCAGAAAGTCCCTTTTTATAGATTTTCATTCAATCAAGATTCCAAAAGTACCAGTTGAAGAACAAAAAGTACCAAAAAATTCACTCTTATAGATTTTCATTCCATTAGAAACATATAATCAGACATATAGATTATATGTTTCTAGGTTCAATATTGCAGAAAAACCAAAAATTATCAGTTGAAGAACGAATAAGTACCAAAAATCCTTTCCTACAGGTTTTCTTTCACTTAGGACTCTGAATGTTTAATTTTATATTTCTAGGTTCAATATTATAGGAAATTCAAAAAATACCTTTTGAAGAACGAAAAAGTACCAAAAACTTCGCACTAATATGTTCTTTACTCCCGGCTCTACATGCTTAATTTTATGTTTCTAGGTTCAATATTATAGAAAACTCAAAAAATACCAAAAATATCGATCTTCTCGAGAGCATGTCTGACAGAATTATTGAATATTAGGATCCCGAATATATCCGTGGTTTCAGAAAATTTATTGCAACAGACATACAGACGGACATGGGTTAATCAACTCCGCTATCTAAGTATATCCAGAATAGATGTATATAATGTATGGAACACGAAAATGATATTGTAGAAATTACAAACGGAATGACAAACTTATATATACCCTTCTCACGAAGGTGAAGAGTATAAAAATGCTAAGAAAATGTAATATTTTTGCTGTTAGAGATCAGTAAGTTACATACGTGCTTTTTTCTTTCAACAAAATTAACAACACTGTTATACAGGACAAGTCAAAAGTGAGAGTTAGTGTGAGAGAAAAGCAAATAGTATAAGAAATGAACACAAGAGTAAAATCAAACACTCAAAATAAACACCTTAAGATTTAGTTGCTTAACAACAACAACAATAGCTACAACAACAATACAGAACAAAAGCTAAATTGTTAGCATGTTTCAAAATTAAAACGTCCACGACCATTCTAAAGGCGATTTTTTTCTTGGACACACAAAACTTGTACTTTAACACTGCGTACTAAATATTAGTTTAACATACTAAAAAGTCCTTAACTACGTCCTCGTTTTATTGTTAGTTTTTTTTTTTTTTTTTTCGAATTGCCTTCCAAAAGAAACTCTATAATTTTAAGGTTGAAACGTAAACTATGACGAAAGCAAAAAGAGTCCATGAATCTCCGTAAAATCTTTAACTTAACTTTTAGATTTTCTCACAAATAAAACATGCAATTCTATTTGCATATTAACTGACTAACTAACTGACTCTCTTTTATGTTATGGGTAACAGTAAAGTGAAAAGTGAAAGAAAGCAGCCAAATATCTAGGCTAATTTTAGGAGTAATATTTTAAAGACTATGCTAACATTACTAACAACAACAGGCATTACTAAAGAGTAAAGTATATAGCAGCAGCAGTAGCAACAGCAGCAGCAGCAGCAGTAGCAGATATCGAAATGTAAACAAAACAATAACAACAACGCCAACTTAAGTAGCATGATGTTTTTTATGAGCGTTACTAAATATTAGTATATATTTGTTGTTGTTTTATTTGTTATACCCTCTCTTTTTCAAAACAAAGAATTAAAACAACAATTGAGCAAAAAAAATAAGAAAATTGCAAAATAACGTTAAATTGTACTATATACCTATTTTTTGGTAATTACATGTGTTGTATATGTATGAATATTTTATTTACACACATTTACATTTGTGTATTTTATTATGTGTGTGTGTGTGTCCTTATTGTATATGTATTTGTTAAATAGCAGCTAATCAACATGCAATTTCAAAATCATTCATTTAATCTTACACAAAATTAATTTTCTTTGATAAAAATCTTTGTAATTTTTTTTTTCTTAAGCAATTTGTTTGAAATTAGATGTTATTTTAAAATAATTTCAAAAGTGTGACAATTAAAAATCGTCCATTATTATTTAATGTTATAGGTAATTATATAGGTACTTGGTTCTGAATTATAGTTTGGAAATGAAAAATGTTGGAGTGAGTAAATATACTCTCCACGTGACCTAATGCAGTTTATAGTTTTAGTAGAATAGTTAAGAATCTTTAAGTCGTCTTTTCAAGCAAGCCAAACAATGGCACCATTTAAAACTCACAATATCATATAAGATGCCAAATATCGACGAAATAAAAAACCTTTGAGATATGTATCTTATATACCCTTTACATTGTCTGTTTAAAAAAAAACTGTCAATATGTATTTTATTAAAAAAAATCAAAAATATCAGTTGGAAAACGAAAAATACCACAAGGTCCACTTTTATAGATTTTCCTTCAATCTGGTTTTTAAATGAAAAAAGTACCAGTTGAAGAACAAAACAGCACCATACAGTTTACTCTTGTATTACAATCCTAAATGTTTGATTTATGTTTCTAGGTTCAATAATTCAGAAAATCAAAAAAAGTACCATTTGAATGACGAAAAAGTATCAGAAACTCTTGATTTATAAATTTTCATTCAAGGAATCAATATTATAAAAGATTCAAAAAGTACCAGTTGAAGAACAAAATTTTATAGAAAGCTCACTCTTATAAATTTTTATGTTTTTAGGCTCAATATTATAGCAAATCTAAAAAGTACCAGTTAAAGAACGAAAAAGTACCAAAAAATAGTCCTTGGTTCCACAGTTACAATTAACACCTCATTTGCATATTTAATTTTTAATTTTTTCCCATCTTTGCTTAATTTCCCACACACATAACAACATACAGCTTCATACGTATAGTAATGTCTTGTTCTTGTCCTGTTTTGTTTTTATAAACAAGTAAACGATCATTAACCATATGAAGCTGTATATTGTTGTTGTTATACCCTACACCACTATAGTGGTGGTACAGCCACCTTAAAGTATACCGATCGACTCATAATCACTTTCTGGGTCGATTAATACATGTCCGTCTGTCCGGCTGGCTAGCTGTCCATGTAAACCTTATGCGCAAGCTACAGGCCACAATTTTCAAGATATTTTGACATTTCAAGATATTTTGATATTTCAAGACATTTTGATAATTTGGACCATACGAGCTTTTGTCACAAGGACGATGCCCATTGAAAATGGTTGAAATCGGTCCATTATTTCACCTAGCCCCTATACAACCATACCTTCCGATTTAGGGTTTTTAACAAAATTTGGCACAACTAAGTTTTATATAGGCATAAATTGCCATGCCAATTTTTATAATGATCGGCCGTCATTTGACCCTAGCCCCCATACAAACCCCCCTTTAAAAAATAACTTAAATGTCCAAAAATTTACTTATAACCATTAGTATCGCGATGAAATTAAGCATAACTAATCTTTATATAAAGGAGCGCACAACAGGCCCGATCATATAGTCGACCTTGTCCGACTATACTTTCCGACTTGTTTTTTTCTTAATTTTGTCAAATTATACACAAAAATGCTTATTTTTATGAAACTTTCAGAGGTAGTCTTGGATTTGGCATCATATCTTATATATTTATGGACCGAGTTTGACGATTTTCAAAAGCACTACTTTTGAAAGTATGTCTGATAGAATTATAGGAGATTTGGATCCCGCAAATATCTGGTGTGTTAAGGAAATTGATTTCAAAAAACATACAGACGGACAGGAAGACAGTTGGACATAGCTTAATCGACTCCGCTATTTATAAAGATCCAGAATATATATACGTATACATTATGGGGTCGGAATGGTCAATAAAATATTCCAAAAGGTGATACTCATATACTACAATTTTTCGGGACTAAACTGAACACCATCTATTGATCTGAAAATCTTCGTTAAGATATAAATATAAAATAAATGCAAATAAAGAACTTCTTCCTTTGCATTTACAGAAACAGGTCCTTAATGTCTTCAAAATCAATCATTTTTTAAAGAAAAAAAGAAATTGTCACAAATAACACATATAAAACATATAACTATTTAACGTTTACTTACCAACCCCTCATTGCCTAAAATGTTGCATGTAACACTTACAACAAGCAATAGTTAAGTGTTCCAAACAAAACAAATTGATAAATTACCAAAGTTTTTTGACGGCAAGACAATAATTTATGCAACATTTCCGCAAACTTTTTATTCTACTTTAGACTCTAAGAGTATACAGACTAATATGTTTGAGAAAAAAAACCTAGGGGGTCATCTATTAGGCAATATATTGTAAATAAATGTCGAAATTTTTGACCTTAAATATTAACAATGAACATGTAATTTGGACATTTTGGCAAACGAAAATACAAATATGAAAAAATTCACAGGTGCTTGTTTCGATTTTAACTTAAAGTTAAAAAGTGGCAATGTTTTTGCGATTTTTCTTTTACAAATTTTT